ATTTGGCTACCTTAAGAGAGTCATAGTTACTCCCGCCGTTTACCCGCGCTTGGTTGAATCTCTTCACTTTGACATTCAGAGCACTGGGCAGAAATCACATAGCGTCAACATCCGTTGGGACCATCGCAATGCTTTGTTTTAATTAAACAGTCGGATTCCCCTTGTCCGCACCAGTTCTGAGTCGGCAGTTTGATACTTAGGGAGAGTCCCACGGCCCCACCATAAAGGTGGGGACATAAGACATTCTACGCCCGTCGGCACACTGGCACGCGGGCTCCGCCCTCGCCGCGAGAGCAGCTCGGGCAGACGACCGGCAGCCAACGACATCGAGGCGAAGACCCCTAGGCCCAGCCCTCAGAGCCAATCCTTTTCCCAAGGTTACATATCCATATTGCCGACTTCATTTACCTACATTCTTCCTTTGACCAGAGGCTGCTCACCTAGGAGACCTGATGCGGTTATGAGTACGGTTGGGCGTGAGAGGTACCCGCAGCTCCAGATTTTCAAGGGCCGCCGGGGGCGCGCTGGACACCATAGGACGCGCGGTGCTTTGCCGGGCGCTGCACCCTATCTTCGGTTGATCCGATTCCAGGGTGGGCGAGCCGTCAAGAAGGAAAGAGAACCCTCCCCACGGCCCCCGCCGTCATCTCCGGAGCTGCTTACGTTACCGTCCACCTCCACAACCCGGTTCGGGAATATTAACCCGACCCCCTTTCGATATGCGGCGCGCAGTGCGCCCTTGATACAAGGTTTCCACATCTCTTAGGGCCGACTGACCCATGTCCAAGCGCTGTTCACATGGAACCCTTCTCCACTTCGGTCTTCAAAGTTCTCATTTGAATATTTGSTACTACCACCAAGATCTGCACCGGGACCCGCTTCACCTAGGCTCACGCTCCAGGCTTCGCAGCAGGCTCACACTCAAACCTCTCACAGCAGATCGTGGTTGGCGGACGGTGCACCCGCAGAGGGTTCCAACCACTCTGTTTTCTTCCGCCTCATGGGCTAATCACCCACCGGCTCGCATGCACGTTGAACTCCTYGGTCCGTGTTTCAAGACGGGAGGGATAGAGGAATTTCGCCAGCATCCCGAACACGCAGGAACCCGACCGGGCCCGCCGAAAGAAGCGCGTGCTCAAGGTCCTCGACTGCCGTGGCGGCCACCCGTGGGGGGTTTCAATCGCTCCCCACCGCAATGCCGGTCACAGCAGCCCATGCTGGCAGGCACCCCACGTCGAACAAGGGGGGAGACAACACAGTCGCCGTCCACCCCTGCCCAGACGGGAGCGCACGACTTCCCCTCCATCTGCTTCTCGCTCGGCAATTTCAAGCACTCTTTAACTCTTTTTTCCAAGTTCTTTCCATCCTTCCCTTACGGTACTTCTTCGCTATCGGTCCCTCGCACATATTTAGCCTTGGATGGGACTTACCACCCAATTGAGGCTGCATTCCCAAGCAACCCGAATCTTGGACAACACCTCGTTGCGCAGCAGGGTCCGGCGGTCGACGGGGCTGTCACCCTCTTCGGTGTCCCCTTCCAAGGAACCTGCACACGGCCCGCTGCAGAGGTTGCCTCTCAAGACTACAATTCAGGGAGCARCACAGCCCCCGGATTTTCAGTCTGGGCTATTCCCGGTTCGCTCGCCGCTACCAAGGGAATCCTCGTTGGTTTCTCTTCCTCCGCTTAGTTATATGCTTAAATTGGGCGGGTGCTCCCGCCCGACCTGAGATCAAAAGGCAAGGCCTGACGTACCTCCACAGCTCGAGGCCGGCACCCCCAACCGCAAGCCTACCTCAAGCTGATGGTATCGAATGGAAGGCGGCGACCACACAAACCGGAGGGACGACCTTACGTGCCGTTTTCAGGGAAACGAAGACCACCACCCACAAACGGGTGCTGGAGCGCAACAACAGGGCGGAGCGAAACRCACCACTCTGGGCTGCGGCCCCCACAGGCCCGCTCGGAATGYTCTCCAATTCCCTTCCACTTTAGGCTATCGACGGTCTCGAAGTGGGAAGCGAGGGAAGCCACGACCACGGACCCCACCATTCTCCGAAACGGAAGGTAATGAGATCGTGAGGAATCCAATGATGCTCACTCGGGCGTGCCCTCGGCAGAAGCCTTGGTCGCCACGTGCGTTCAAGGTATCGATGGCTCACGGATTTCTGCAATTCACATTCAGTATCGCATTTCGCTGCGCTCTTTATCGTTGCGAGGGCCAAGATATTCGTTTGCCGAGAGTTCTACAATATGGTGCCGTTCCGACAGGACCGACCCCTCGACCAGAACAGAAGGGGGCCGTCAACCCGGACAACGACAAATCAGAGCAGGTACATCAATAAGAAGTTGCAAGCCCGTCGGCACCAGCCGCTGCCACGGGCCCACCCGACCCCCCGTTCGGGGTGCCAGGCAGGGCACCCCGAACGGCCCTCCACCCCGAGATTCAGACCACCTCGACCCGGCCCCAACGGCCCTCCACCCCGAGATGCAGACCACCTCGACTATGTCGAGGACGATGATCTGTCCGGAAAGGAGAACCCCGTTGGGAAGGAAGGCAGGACGAAACGGGGAGGGGCCGAGGACCCCGCAACACACCCCGCCCCTAGCCTGTACCACGACCCTCGATCCCCAAACAAGCCACAAGCTCCACACGAAGCCWAGKTYGAGGCCGGGATGGAAAGGAGGTCTGGACAAAGCTGAGACGGGAAGGAGCGGGGGTACGCAGGCCGAGGACAGCCGCCACCACCCGACATCCCGCCCTTGACCCTCCCGCAGGGCTGTCCGTGCCCGGACCAACCGCCATCCYGACCAGAAGTCGAGAGTGGGGCTGGGCCGAGGTAACAACCTGCGGAGGCGAGACGGGATGGGGGAGCAACGCCACAAGGCCCCGGACCCTGCCCACTCCCCCCACCCTCGACCTACACCACGCGCCCCTCTGCGCCGGGCCAGCCGCCAGCTGGGTACTAAGCCCAAGATGGTGCTGAAACGTAAGAGAAAAGTGGATGCAGGGAGGATGGGGGCAAAGGGCGGCGGAAGGGTGAGCAAGCCAGCGTCCCACACCCCGAAGATCAGCCATTCATGTGTCAATGATCCTTCCGCAGGTTCACCTATGGAAACCTTGTTAGGACTTCTCCTTCCTCGAAATGATAAGGTGCAATGAACTTCTCGCAGCACCCCCAGCGGCAAACCGTCGAGATCACCGCGATCCAGACACTTCACCGGACCATTCAATCGGTAGGAGCGACGGGCGGTGTGTACAAAGGGCAGGGACGTAATCAGCGCGAGCTGATGACTCGCGCTTACTAGGCATTCCTCGTTCAAGATCGATAATTACAACAATCTATCCCCGTCACGATGAACCTTAAGAAGGTTACCCGGGCCTTTCGACCTAGGCAAACGACTCGTTGGATTCATCAGTGTAGCGCGCGTGCGGCCCAGAACATTTAAGGGCATCACAGACCTGTTATTGCCTCAAACTTCCGTTGGCTAGTCGTCCAACAGTCCCTCTAAGAAGCTGGCCACGAGGAAAGGTCCCCGCGTA